GTGGCGTGCAGACAGTCTATGGTCGTGCAGCCATCACAGGGAATAAAGGTCACCACCCCCTCCCACTGGCCCCTCCCACTGGCCCCTCCCACCACCTCCTCCCACTGGCCCCTCCCACTGGCCCCTCCCACCACCCCTCCCACTGGCCCCTCCCACCACCCCCTCCCACCGGCCCCTCCCACTGGCCCCTCCCACTGGCCCCTCCCACCACCTCCTCCCACTGGCCCCTCCCACTGGCTCCAGGTGAATTCTCCTGATTATATCCTGCTGTGTTCTCACATCAGCTCACTCTGAAAACTTCCTGAAGCTGTTTAAACTTGACGTCAGAAGGTTGAGAAACTCTGTTAGCGCCGAGCTAATATTCAAAATATCAACATAACGACAAAATATATCAACGTGGAGTCATGATGGAGCGACGCTTCAAACCAACCCTGAAGGAGTTCAAACAGTCTGACTGAATCTGAGGTCAGAGGCTGCACACGTTAGCTTAGCATCTCCTCTGTGGTAAATGACGGGTTAGCTGTTAGCCAGCAAAGTAGCATCGCCTGTGAATCTGGAGACCACCAGAGAAAAGCCAATTTACACAGTCACAGTCCGTGCGTGCTGCGGTACGTCAGCGCCGCGGTTTTGATCCATTTGAAGGCGCCCACCCCGCCCCACTGGGTCCGTTTCTGGAGCGTGAGCGCAGCCATCAGCGTGCAAACAACATGTTATACGATCAGGAGTCTGCATATTGTGTTTTATTTTGAAATTGACCGGACACTCTGTACGTTTCTGTGTCTGACTTCCTGTCCAGGTTAGATTGACGCGTGCTTTCAGCGTTGTGGCGCTGCTAGCGGAGAAAGACCGCGGTGCTCGCTGTGGAAACACAAACATTGACGAGAGTGTAGCGGCGCATCGGCGCACGGGCGGCGCTGACGGACCGCGGCGCTCACGGACTGTGAAAACTGGCGGTGATCTTTTCAACCATCGATATTCCATGTGTGATTTTTTTATCCGTCAAACTGTCAAAGAGAAATCTGCTTCAGCGTCGATCAACATCATGAATCAAACAATATGTTAGAATGATTTCCTCACTATTTTGGTACTCACAGGCTTCCATATCAAAAACTCAAAGTGTGTGTCATATGTAAGGTGGGAGTTTATTATGGGATAGAATTCAGCCTGTTGACGGTGTTCATGTCTTTAACTTATTAACGGTGCCATGTTCTGATCTCGTTTGTTTGATTTCACTGTTAGAAGATGTTAAAGCTGAACGTTATATAGATGATGTATATTTACGTGTCTCCATGGAGATGACTCTCAGGACTTGGTGGGCTCGGAGACCCCCTGTCGCCCACGGCAACAGATACAGTGTCTTCCACGTGTTTGTCATAGACAGAACGGATATTAAAGTGTCTCCGTGAAGCAGAACCGACGGACGTTCAGTGAAACAGACGGTTCCTGTTGGCAGGATGTGGTTAGCCTAGCTTAGCACAAAGACTGGAAACGGAGGGAAACTGTTAGCCTAGATTCTTCAAGAGTAAAGAGTAGATCTTCAGATATCTCTGAGTCAGATTTTACTCTTAAAAGTTCAAATGCTTTTTAAAATAATCTGTTTTACATGAACGCATCACTCGCTAACAGAACATGTGAAATTATTGAGCTAATAAAATGTTTAGACGCCACATTTAATGTACGTGAACTTTTCTGGGGTCGTTCATTTGCGATGCTAAAAATCCCTTTAAGGCGTTTAAGAGCCACAAACATGAACCCTTATGTTTTATTCCTTGGGCTTCCCTCTGTTGATTTTATAACAGATATTTTCGTGTTTTCACATCTCAAGCTCCAAAACGACCTTGAAACACTTCAGCTCTGATGAATATTTCTCACGTTAACGTCAGCAGGTTTCACTGATGGAATCAACGTGTCCGGCCGTCTGTCGGCTCAGATGTTGAACGAGCTGTGAAAATGTTGTGAATGATCTTCATGTTCTTCTGATTATTGATTCTGTTTGTTTGTTTTGTCCTGAATCATCTGTGTTTTAATAAAAAGTAAATGGAGCACAACAACAACAACAACAACAAGACCTGCTGCAGTGTTTGATTTAGAGCACTAAACCACAGACGCTCCGCTGTCCCACTGTTTTTACAGGCAGTGAACTCAACACAGACGTTCTGCTGTCCCACTGTTTTTACAGGCAGTGAACTCACCACAGACGCTCCGCTGTCCTACTGTTTTCACAGGCAGTGAACTCACCACAGACGCTCCGCTGTCCCACTGTTATCACAGGCAGTGAACTCACCACAGACGCTCCGCTGTCCCACTGTTATCACAGGCAGTGAACTCACCACAGACGCTCCGCTGTCCCACTGTTTTTACAGGCAGTGAACTCAACACAGACACTCTGCTGTCAGACTTTTTTTTTAATTTATTTTGGGCTTTTCATGTCTTTAATGCAGAGAGAGGACAGTGGATAGAGTCTGAAACCAGAGAGAGAGAGAGGACAGTGGATAGAGTCAGAAACCAGAGAGAGAGAGAGGACAGTGGATAGAGTCAGAAACCAGAGAGAGAGAGAGGACAGTGGATAGAGTCTGAAACCAGAGAGAGAGAGAGGACAGTGGATAGAGTCTGAAACCAGAGAGAGAGGACAGTGGATAGAGTCTGAAACCAGAGAGAGAGAGAGGACAGTGGATAGAGTCTGAAACCAGAGAGAGAGGACAGTGGATAGAGTCTGAAACCAGAGAGAGAGAGAGGACAGTGGATAGAGTCTGAAACCAGAGAGAGAGAGAGAGGACAGTGGATAGAGTCTGAAACCAGAGAGAGAGGACAGTGGATAGAGTCTGAAACCAGAGAGAGAGAGGACAGTGGATAGAGTCTGAAACCAGAGAGAGAGGACAGTGGATAGAGTCTGAAACCAGAGAGAGAGAGAGGACAGTGGATAGAGTCTGAAACCAGAGAGAGAGAGAGGACAGTGGATAGAGTCTGAAACCAGAGAGAGAGGACAGTGGATAGAGTCTGAAACCAGAGAGAGAGAGAGGACAGTGGATAGAGTCTGAAACCAGAGAGAGAGAGAGGACAGTGGATAGAGTCAGAAACCAGAGAGAGAGGACAGTGGATAGAGTCGAAACCAGAGAGAGAGAGGACAGTGGATAGAGTCAGAAACCAGAGAGAGAGGACAGTGGATAGAGTCTGAAACCAGAGAGAGAGAGGACAGTGGATAGAGTCTGAAACCAGAGAGAGAGAGGACAGTGGATAGAGTCAGAAACCAGAGAGAGAGGACAGTGGATAGAGTCAGAAACCAGAGAGAGAGAGAGGACAGTGGATAGAGTCTGAAACCAGAGAGAGAGAGGACAGTGGATAGAGTCAGAAACCAGAGAGAGAGAGGACAGTGGATAGAGTCTGAAACCAGAGAGAGAGGACAGTGGATAGAGTCAGAAACCAGAGAGAGAGAGAGAGGACAGTGGATAGAGTCAGAAACCAGAGAGAGAGGACAGTGGATAGAGTCTGAAACCAGAGAGAGAGAGAGAGGACAGTGGATAGAGTCAGAAACCAGAGAGAGAGGACAGTGGATAGAGTCTGAAACCAGAGAGAGAGGACAGTGGATAGAGTCTGAAACCAGAGAGAGAGAGGACAGTGGATAGAGTCTGAAACCAGAGAGAGAGAGGACAGTGGATAGAGTCTGAAACCAGAGAGAGAGAGGACAGTGGATAGAGTCTGAAACCAGAGAGAGAGGACAGTGGATAGAGTCAGAAACCAGAGAGAGAGAGGACAGTGGATAGAGTCTGAAACCAGAGAGAGAGGACAGTGGATAGAGTCAGAAACCAGAGAGAGAGAGAGGACAGTGGATAGAGTCAGAAACCAGAGAGAGAGAGAGAGACAGTGGATAGAGTCAGAAACCAGAGAGAGAGAGAGGACAGTGGATAGAGTCTGAAACCAGAGAGAGAGAGAGGACAGTGGATAGAGTCAGAAACCAGAGAGAGAGAGAGAGGACAGTGGATAGAGTCAGAAACCAGAGAGAGAGAGAGAGGACAGTGGATAGAGTCTGAAACCAGAGAGAGAGAGGACAGTGGATAGAGTCAGAAACCAGAGAGAGAGAGAGAGGACAGTGGATAGAGTCAGAAACCAGAGAGAGAGAGAGGACAGTGGATAGAGTCAGAAACCAGAGAGAGAGAGAGAGACAGTGGATAGAGTCAGAAACCAGAGAGAGAGGACAGTGGATAGAGTCAGAAACCAGAGAGAGAGAGAGGACAGTGGATAGAGTCAGAAACCAGAGAGAGAGAGGACAGTGGATAGAGTCTGAAACCAGAGAGAGAGAGGACAGTGGATAGAGTCAGAAACCAGAGAGAGAGAGGACAGTGGATAGAGTCTGAAACCAGAGAGAGAGAGAGGACAGTGGATAGAGTCAGAAACCAGAGAGAGAGAGGACAGTGGATAGAGTCAGAAACCAGAGAGAGAGGACAGTGGATAGAGTCAGAAACCAGAGAGAGAGGACAGTGGATAGAGTCTGAAACCAGAGAGAGAGAGAGACAGTGGATAGAGTCAGAAACCAGAGAGAGAGAGAGGACAGTGGATAGAGTCTGAAACCAGAGAGAGAGAGAGGACAGTGGATAGAGTCTGAAACCAGAGAGAGAGGACAGTGGATAGAGTCGAAACCAGAGAGAGAGAGACAGTGGATAGAGTCTGAAACCAGAGAGAGAGAGAGGACAGTGGATAGAGTCTGAAACCAGAGAGAGAGACAGTGGATAGAGTCTGAAACCAGAGAGAGAGAGAGGACAGTGGATAGAGTCTGAAACCAGAGAGAGAGAGAGAGACAGTGGATAGAGTCAGAAACCAGAGAGAGAGGACAGTGGATAGAGTCAGAAACCAGAGAGAGAGAGAGGACAGTGGATAGAGTCAGAAACCAGAGAGAGAGGACAGTGGATAGAGTCTGAAACCAGAGAGAGAGAGGACAGTGGATAGAGTCTGAAACCAGAGAGAGAGAGAGACAGTGGATAGAGTCAGAAACCAGAGAGAGAGGA